AATATTGTATAATTGTGCAATATTATTATAAATTTGTTTAATTCTATGGGAGGTGTTGGGAGACTTACTATTATTGTTGTATTTATGTGCCACGTGGTACGCCCCTATTGGAGCTCAATAGGTGGCTTGTAAAGGCTCGGGCTAATCTACCTTTGGCTGGGTAATTTAGCACCGAGTGAGGGCTACGGCTCGAGATTAATAGAGGGATATAAGGATGGTTGTTTGTGTTTATTATAATATTTCTTATATTTGTTAGAATTATATTATTTTTAATTCTTACTTAGTAAGCACACACTTAACTGTTTGTATACACTATCATAAATTGGCTTTGGTTACTGGGACTTTGAGTCTCATTATGTGGTTAACAATTTTCAGGAGAAGAGTCACGAGTGACACGTGGAGGAGTCCCAGAGGCTTAGTGGTATAGATCCACTGTCTCTTTTGGGTATTTAATTTATGATTTATAATGTGTTATATTGCCAATATTAGAGCTTTTTATTTATTGTCAATTATATAAATATATAAATGTAATCATGCCTTTCAAACTATTTCTATTTTTGGTACAATTTGGATGACTGTAATTTTAATATTTGGTTTACTTTGGATTGGTTAAAATGACATGATTATAAGACCAAATAACTGGCTTGTATTAAAAATTTATTAAATTGCTTATTTTACTTGTTGGGAGTATAAGGATGGACAAATGTGATTTAGCCTAATGGCATGTGGGAGGTAAAAATTTGTCTGAAATGTTATAGTGTGTGAGTTGAAGCCAATTATAAAATATTTTATATTGAAATTATTGATATAAAAATGTGTTGGGTGGCTGTAACCCAACTATGGTTGAGTTAATTATTTAAAAAAAAAATTTTGGTGTGTTACAAATCTCACATAATCGATTGAAATAACTCCCTCTTTTAGCATACTTAATTGTATCTCAAACAATAGATATGTCATTGTTCTCTTTACAATGACTATTGCCATTTGGCAATCTTAAATCATTGACATGACTTGTGTCGGTTTTACTCATAGTAGAATATTTACTGAGAAGTTTCTCAACTACTTAGTCTCATTATTAGCCAACTTCAGAGTAATAAACTCTGACTTAAATAATATTTTATTTGGCTACAAATAAATTTTTCCTCATCTTAATATAAAATTTACTTAACATCATTGTATTATTTTAATACAACAAAATCTATTATATATGATACCAACATTTATGATATCCCTCAAACACTCATTTGTATCATCCTCTTATGAAACTATACTTGATATGCTCAATCTCCACACAATATATATCATGAGATTAACATGGATTAATGGAACAAGCTCTTAAAAATTTGTTCATACATACATACATGATTGAGCAATAAGATCATCCCATTTTTATTTTTTTTTTATCATGTTTGCATCATAGAAATGCTTATCGACACTAAGAGTTAAATTTATACTAAAATAATTGCTAACGAGATTTTTTACAACTTAGCCTCCAGTTTTAAGGTAATAAATTCTATGGTCTTATTATCATATTTGTTTCAAACACCACTAAGGGTGGATAATCACTAGTGGCTCTTCTCACATTAACATCTATGTATTTTATACACTGAGGGTCTACTATTCACAATCTCATAATTTAGAAAATATTCTATTTATTTTATGGGACCATAACACATATAAACAAATCATTATTCATAAAAATGAGTATTGATACCAAGATAATTAAACAGGTCACATACTTATTTTAAAATATATTATCTACACCAGACAAATAATTAAATTTGTACTACCACCATAAACTTTGCCCCTCATGCAAATACTAGCCTCCTCTTAATTAATTTTTCTCTCTAAATCAAAACATAAAACCATATCTTGACATTTAAAAAGTGAGACTAAATATTTAGAATAACACCCATTTTCTTTTGCAATAGTTTTTGCAAGATATCCCGCCCTTTTAAATATATTTCAATAACATGAAAAATATTTTATATCTTGTTCATAATTATTCTAATTAAATTAGAATTCTACCATATAATCTCTTTCCATTCTAATTAAATTAGAATTTCTCATAATTTAAACTCATCATGCATAAACCCATGCACATAGCCCCCATATTTTGGATATTAAAATTTGTGAATGAATTAAAACATTTTCAGGCAACATCCATATAAAGCACATTAATGTCTAAATAACCGAATGGTATCATAACTAGGGAATCATATATAATCCCCATTTATAAATAACATTCACTAAATTACAAATATTTAATTTATAGAAAAATGTCTCCCATCAATTGGCATATACTGAATATAATACCATAGAAAATTGCAACATCTACCAATTTATGTAAATAAAGCATCAAGATTTAATCCCAGCCTTTCAAACAACTAACACATGCATGATTTAAATATAATCAATTCTTATCATTGATTAGGTGTCAAACGACAATCGTGTCTTTCTTTTATTGGTATTGTAACAAATACCAGCATTAATTTTTAAAACTCCAAATATTATTAACGATTACTTTAAAATTTAAAGTATAGATGTTGACACTTATTCTGTTAATATTTTCCATTTTATTAGCCTTAATATTCATGAAATTGAAAGCTTATTGTGCCTCTTTATAAACAATCCATAACACTTAAAAATTATTAAGGAACCATGAATGCCAAAAGAAAACTGAAATTGGCACTTACACGGGTCATGATTATTGATAACGTCTAGCATTCTCTGTTGCTAAAAAACTTTGAATGCATACATGATACACCAAACACTTGGATATAACCAGAAAACTATACATCTGTGCGTAGGGTCTAAATCACATCAATATTATCGAAATGATCCTCAATCCAAATCCATCAGTCAAAACTTTCAACGAAACAAATGAAGAGTTCATAGAAGATAAATTTGGGGTGTCTCCTTTTTTTATCTCCTTTTCCCTTCTTTTTTTTTTAATCTGACCGTTTAATTTGTCTGCTTTTATTTGACGCTCCATTGCGCGAACCCGCCATTAATATTCATTCAATATTCTGTCTATTTCCTAGTCAATTTATTCTCAACTGATTTTGAAACTTTTTTATTAAAATTTACACGGCATTATTAGTAAAAATAAATGCTATTATATTTTTTCAAACTATTTAAATTAAAATCTTATTGTTGTGTTTTAAATTAAAATTACCGAGTTTAATCATTAAATATTTTTATCTTTATTTTATTATTATGAATAAAAATATTATATATATATATATTTTTTTTTTTCTTTTTTGTTGGTTGAAGACCATTTTTCCACCAAAACTTTTTCTGAGGACCATTAAGCATCTTGCATGGGGCAATATCCCCCTGTACAATTTTTTTCAAGAGCCAAATTTCTTTTCATCATAAAACTATCATTTTCTCTATCATTTATTGAGGTGAAAATAGTTACGAGGCCCTCGCACAGTGACAACGTATTCCAATCCATTTCAGCCCTCTAACGCGAGCCAAAGGACAATTTTACTCTTAAAAAAAATATTTAGAAAAATATTACTCTTGTATTTAATGTAAGGCACGCAGCACTTTTTAAAAGAAGTTTAGAAAGTGTTTGGTCTAAAAGAAGTAATTTTGGCTTAAGTTCACCAAGGTCTTCTAAGAGAAAGTTATTGAAAGACTTGATCAAGCACGCATCAATTCAACAATGAGACAAAGGTAGAGAAATATGGAAAAAATTATAACTAGTGTCTTTAAAAAAAATGAAACCATAAAAAAACTGTCACTTTGTATTTATAAAAGAGAAGCTACCACATACATACAAACCTCTTCAACCCAACAAACTACACACAATTTTTACAGACATCTTTTCAATAACTCAACTCTAAAATCTACTTACCCAATACAAAATTGTTGACCCTATGATATCTTTTACTTCACCTAACATAACTACTTTTATTCTTAAACAAATTCAACACAGTACCTTTAGCATGACACACATTCAACATATAGCATCAAGTTTTTCAACAACTAGTAAAGTGTTAGCTTCTAGTAGAACAATAATAACAACTCTCTTGCAATTTTCTTTTCAGTTTTTCATCTTTTATTTTTTGTAATTTCTCTTTTATTATTATCAATGTTATGTCTACTCTGACCATGCAAGTATGACTTGTTTTTCCATCTATATTACTTCATTTCCTTTTATTTTAAGGACATGTATTCAAAAAAATTGTGATAAAAGACTGCTGAAAGTCACCTTTTGATCTTGGAAGTTGGGAATATCGCACCCTTTAATCTCATGTTCCTCTGGCACGCCAGCACCCAAAAAAAAAAAAAACAGGGAGATAAATAGTCTGTAGCCCTTATTGATTTATAAAGTATTTAAATATTTTTTCTATCAAAATATGTGTGTATATTATTTTAATAATTTTTTCTCAAAGAGACAAAACAACGTTGATTCAAAATTCTGAAAAGCGTCAAAGTTGATTTTACTCAACAAGACAGTTTTTAAAATTTTAATGTTTTTTCCTCAAACATTTTTATTCACCGAAATAATATTTTCCATTTTTAATATTTTTATTTATAAATAATATGATAAAAATATAAAATATTTAATTATTAAATTCATAGCAATTTTGATTTAAAACGCAAAATAAAATTTTAATTTAAATAGTTAAAAAAATATAATAGCATTTTTTTTACTAATAATGCCGTGTTTATTTAATAAAAAGTTCCAAAACCAGTTGAGAGTAAATTAACTAGACAAAAGACAAAACACTGAATCAATATTGAATGGTTGGTGGCTCTATGGAGCGTTAGATGAAAGCACACAAATTGAACGGTCAGATCAGGGAAATGGAGGGGAAAAGGAGAGGGAGAAGGGAGACACCCAGCACCCAATTTTGCAACGTTTACAAGGGATTTGATTTTTCAAACAAGAATCATAGCAAGGGTGGTCTAATGAGAATTTAAAAATAGAGAAGACAATATGGTGCACCTTTTCAAACAAATTTTTAGATGTCAACATAATCTGCTCAACCCTTGGTGAAGTCGATAAAGACGTTTTCATCAAATTCCACAACACCGGATAGTTGTTCTGTGTCAAGACTTGAGTCTAGATTCCAGAAGCCCATTAAAGGAAATGCCTCTAGATCTGAATCGGAGGCTGACTTGCCCCACTGATTTCCACTGAAACTGGGAGTAGAATTTGTTACACAGGAAGCTAGTGTGCGAGCGTCACTTTCCCTGTATAAATACACATAATTTTTGTCACCAAAAAAAAAAATACACAATTTTTGTATAATCTTATGGATTAACATTTAAACATAGACACATGGAATACAGTTATATGCATATATACCCGCTGCTTATGTCAGTAACTGGCTTTTGGTCCGCAAATATCCTTCCGCTAGAAGGCCGTAACGCTGTAGATTTCAACGATGTAAAGGAATCAGGAGAAAACAAAATAAATTAAAATTAAAAATAGATATAAAGAATTACCTGGATGATAGTAAATATTATCATCATCATCATCAGCGACCTCAGTTTGAGTCATTAAGTCAGCCTGATTATTGAAGGAGGAATTTGTTGCACTAGAAGCTTGTCTGCAAGTGTGACGGCCACGATAGGTGATATTGAAAAGGGAAGGATCCTCGTCATCTCTCTCCAACACTTTGGTAGCTAGGCAACCCTCCGTATTTCTGCGAGAGCATCTGTAATATCCTCTGTGTATAGAACATTTGTAGCATCAGCGAAAATATCTGATTGGGAAATAAATTATGATTCTTGGAGAATTGGAGGCACCTTGGAAATTTGGCTCCAAGCACGTCTTTCTGGCCATATTTCCTCCAACTGTATCCATCGGCAAGATCCTTAGATTTCAATGTCCATCTAGGCATGGCTCTTCTGTAATTTAAGGATTGGTATTAGAAAATAAGAACTACGTTGTTATAAGCTTAAAGGCCGAGGTAAGTAGAATAAAAACAGTTACACCCACACACCTCGTCGGAGAATGCTTTTTGTCCTTGATGACCTCGGCATTGGAAGGTCGTAATGGCTCATCCACTATTCCCCCGTGTTGTGATAGCATTTAACAATAACAATGAATTAATTAAGGTAATTGTCATGTCGTTAATATAAAATCAGCATAATTAAGGAAGTGAATGAAGTCATGGCACACATATAATAAGAACCTATAAAATTAAAATAAAAAATATCAACAGATTTACCCGGAGTGTCGTCAATATCATCTACCCCGAATTGAGTCATGACATCAACCTGATTATTCATCGAGGAAACTGTTACGCTGGAGGCTTGTGTGCAAGTGTGATTGCCAAAATAAGTGATACGGTAAAGGGAAGTATTCTGGTCAATTTTCTGCACTTGTTTGGTAGCTTGACAACCCTCATCAAATTTGTGAGTGCATCTGAAATACTTCCTGCGTATGCTCCACATGTAGCATAAATCAAGAGAGGCTTCCATATAGTTTACCAAAAATAAGTCATATATAGATGTGAAGTAGACTACATTTGTATGATTCATGGAGAATTGAAATAGGTTGCACCTTGGAAATTTGGCATTAAGAATTTCTTTCTGGCCATATTTTCTCCAGCTAGTCCCATCTTCAAAAGTCTCAGATATTATTGTCCTTATTTCCATGGTCCTTCAATAATATATTGTATTAGAAAATTCAACTACTTTGTTATAAGCCTACGAGCTAAGGTAAATGGCAGATAGTTATGCATGGATATACCTCTTCCTATACTTGAAGGCCTTGACCCTAGAAGACTGTAGTGGCTCACACACTATCCCACCTGTTTTGATACAGCCCATGTCCTCAGAGATCTTGCCAGTGGAAGACTGCAATGGCTGGTCCACTGTCCCCCCATATTGCCATGATATTTCACAAAGATAGTAAATCATAGCAATTGCCATGTGGATTATTGGAAATTCATCATATATTTAAGGAAGTAATTTATTGAGGTTATGACCCACATAGTAGCAATAAACAACAAATAAAATTGAAACCATATATCGATAGATTTACCTGGAATGTCATCAATATTATCATCTAACTCCAATTGACTCATAATGTCAACCTGTTTATCTATTGGAGAAAAGATGCAATCAAAAATAGACGGCCGGCCAACGACTCCCCATTCTGCTTCACTCCATGTTAATGCCTCCCACCACTTGGTTTCTCCTTTGATGACTTTCAAATGGTGACTTGACAATTCCTTTTTTGAAAGAGTCTGAAGTTTTGGGCAATCATAAACTCCCATGTTTTCCAAACTTGGACCTATGTGCAATCTACTGGAAATGCTGATCAGTTCAGGAAGATGGAGAAGTGTCATTGTTCTTAATTTAGGGAGGAAAGTACCAACTCTCAGTTCGAATGATCCGCAAGATATTAAAGCACTTATTTTTGGACAATCTTTGACTAGAAGAACCTTCAACAGTGAAAGGTTGCCTAGAAAATCCAAGGTGAAAATAGTTGTTAACTTTGGACAATTGTGCAATTCTAAGGTCTTCAACATACCAAAGCAGTGCTTGGAATGAACTCGTCCTTCACAAATGCTCCTCAGATTCTTCATGTATGATACACTCAACATCAACAAACGGGGAAATATATCCTCAAATACACTTGAGTGTCTTACATCAACAATCGCTCGCATCTCTTTGCATTCAACCAATATACAAACTTGCAATTGCTCTATATTCATCCCGCCAAACATTGAGAGATCCTTGATAGACATATGTCGGTCTAAAAACAAAGCTTTGCTATGTCTAATAGCACTTGTTATTTCATAGGGGACATCAACACCTTTCACAAACTTTATGCTACGCTCACTTTGTTTAAATTTTTCTTCAACTGTGGGTAGTGTGCTTGAAATGATCCGTGACGTGTTTGCCAACAATGAATCTGAAATCAAGCTTAAAAATGCGAGCAGGGATGAGATTCAACAGTTCAAGTTCTGGAATGTACAAATTAACGGTTTGCAAGCACTCTAATACCAAGACTTCTGGTAGAATGACTTGCAAATTCTCTTGCCGTCGCTCATCATCAGGGTTCACATCAATGCTTAAATGTTTTAACCCTCTAAGTTTTGAAATTACCCCAGAAGGAATAATTGTTGAACTCGTATATTGCATGCTTTTCTTGCCACAGTACTCATAAAAACAAAGAATCAAACTTTGGAGATTGGTCAACTCTCGGATCTCTTGTGGGAGATGTATGATCTGAGTCTTGTCAAGATCAAGCTTCTCAAGGTTCTTCAATTTTCCAACCTCTGAGGATAGTTTCATGAAGCGTTCACAACCTTTCATATAGGGTTCTCTAAGTTGCTCCAACTCAAAAAAAGAGTTCGGTAATTCTCTCACACTAGAGTAGGACAAATCCAAGATGCAAAGTAGGGGCATTTTGAAGAAGAAAAGGGGTGGGATTTTTGTCAAGGCAACATTGTCGTGCAGCTTTAACACTTTGGGCTCACGACAATTCGGGGACAAAGGTAGCTCAGACAAGTTATTGTCTACCAAATCAATATATATAGCACTATGTCATAGCTCACCATTTGGTAGTTCAACCAACCTGAACTCAGATTTTGTCATGAACAAGGGATTCTGAGTGTTTAATACTTGCAAGATGGCATATGTGTCTTGTGGAATTTGAATATACCTTGACTTGTTATCCTGTAATCGCAACAAGGCAAAACGGTCCACAAACTCTCTCAAATTATGATCTGCTTCTCCTGCAACCATTATTCGAGAAGAAATCCAATCATAGATCAACTCATCTTTAGGCTTCCCAAATTTAGAAATGAATAAACATGATGTAAGACAATACTTTTGCGTCTTGCTTAAATCATGCCAGATGAAGTTTATGAATGCTTTAAGCATGACGCTGCTCTGGTCTTGAAACATGCCAACGTCGTGGGAAGGATGGAGCGAACACAATTTGTGCAGAGCACGTTCCCAATCTTCAACATAATTTGCGTTCCTCAGTGACTTTGCTACAATGACTCCGGCAAGAAGATGACCACCGCATTCTTCAACTATACGCACGGCCATTAATCTCTTGGCAAAAGATGATTCTAAAATCGGAGTGCCAATGTTTCGACAGAAAACCTCCCAAGGCAACAGGTGATCCTCTGTGTTGATATTCAAATCTTGTGCCATTGTTAACTCACTATTAGCCTTCTTTGAAGATTTCTTGGTAATGCACACCACAACTCCCGCAAGTTCTTCTTTGGGAAAGCCCATTTTCCGTGGATCTAAAGGCTCTTTGGCATCTCCATCCACCAGAAGCGCTAAGTACTTTTTTCTTGACATCTCTTTTTCGATACTTGTTATCAGCAAATGATCAATGCCATCTATCATCGGAAGATGAAGTTGTTAAGCTATCAGTTGTCGAACACGGACCTCCGCCTAGCTTCAGTAATCTAAGGCATTAATGAGTAAGACTCCAGTGAAGGATTCATGAAGGCGATGCATAATCTTCTGGTCGTTCAAGACTGATTCTATCTTTTCGGTGACAAGTCTTTTTTCAACTGCGTCTCTAGTAGAGAACAAGACATGGTAAATGCCGAGTGTATGATCATCCTGAGACAGTAAAGTTTGAACCAGTTGATCCACAGCAAGATTCGTAGATAAAGTGAGAATGCCTTCTGGTATCACGTTGTTGTTAAGCAGTAGACTCCAACCTCTTTCCATGCTCTCCAATATGTAGAATGGTAAAAGGCCTTGGAAGCACGTAAGGGGATTTTGACTGAGAAGGTGGTTCAAATCTTCGAGAGAATGCCTCTTCGTATTTGAAGCTTTGCGAATCCAGGCCTTGAGTTTGCTATCATGCACCGTTCTCATGGGATAGCTCAACAACAGCCTGATGAAATCTCTTATCCAGCTCAATTGCAGCATCAAACTCTCTCTCTCCTCATCTCAAAACGTCGATCTAGCCAATGGGAGGCCAAACAGCTTCACATTTTTAGCTTTGGAAAAATCTTTAGAAAGATTTTTTGTTTCTATTTTGGGAGAATCTAGCATCTCTGTTTTCCCAAATCTCTCTGAGTTTTCCATTTTGGGAAGGTCGAGTGGCTCTGCTTTCACAAATGGCTCCACTTTTTCAACTTTGGGAAAATCAAATGTTTCCCCTTTTTCTATTTTCTCCATTTTCACAAATGGCTCCATTTTGGTGACAACATGAGCTTTGCCATCACTATTTTTCATTTCTTCATTGCTACCCTCCATGGAATCTCCAAAAAGAAAATGTTTCCTGCAAAAATAAAACGATGACAAGGAGGAAAAAAATTAGGGTCATCCAAGAGTACTATATCCGAACATAATCAATTCATTGGATAGCCTCTCTATTTGTCTTCATCTAAAATTCTGACATGTCCAGATCGATTATGGATTGATTCCCACATACAATATTTTAAGTATAGTATGATATAATTTTTAATACAATTGACAATTAGCATTGAGTAATATTTAGTGACTGATACCGTAAATAAATCACCAAGCCTCCGCAATCATCACTATTCGAACCTTCAGTGCACATATTATTTATTTATTTTTTGGACCTTGACTGCACATATTAAAATTTTCGGTCAAGACAAGTTGACACCATTAAATGGAATCAATCCAATAAAAGCAAATAGTAAAGATTAACTTTCGGCTGAAATACTTTTAATCTCTTGTTTTTTTCTTGGTAAAAAAATCTTCTAGCTTTATACTGCGTATTTAATCTTTAATTTTCATTCATTTTTAGCTTTCAAAATGTAGTAAAAACTTTCCATACTTTAAAATCATTATTTAAAAAAATATGAGTATGCCTGCCTCATCTTTTATATGAGATTTTGGATATGTATCCAAAGTAAGAGTTCAGCTGCAAGTTCTTCTCATTTATAGTAGAATAGATAAACGCCTTCCTGTAAATCTAAATGATCTACATGTTTATTTTTCATGGAAGATAAGTAATTTGTGATAACTTTATGTTGTTCAGCTGAATGATACAAATTTACTCGAAATAGCCATCATATTTAACCAAATTAAAAGAATTCTTATTTCTTAAGCCTGTATTTGATATGCATAATTCATATATATTTTTAATCTGAATTCTCATATCTTATGAAACAACACTTAAAAAGTAAGATCTAAACAGTTGATTTTTCTTTTCTTTTCTTTTTTTATGCCAACTGAACTGATTGAGAAGATCTAATGCACATGCCTAAATAGAGAAGGGGCAAGTCAAATATAAATGACATCCATTGTTTAAGAAATATGGATGAGGAAGAAATCATACATACCAGGAGGTACGTAGCTTTAGCAGGAAGCGATGAGATGAGGTGTATGTTGCCTGTTAAGTTGATGAAGCCCAAGCCTCCGGCAGATGAGTGGAGATCTAGAGATCAGAGGACCCGTCCCATCTACCTCTAGTCAACCCCAGCACTTGCATCCATTCCCTCTAATTCTATATTTGAGCGCTTGCTCAATAATTGGACCGCTAAACCTAACTCATAAGTGTAAACTTACATGCAACTTCATTTCGTTTTTTTATTTTTAAAAAAATAATCACTTTTATATGTTTAGTTTTGATTTAGTTGTTATTTATGTCTTTTATGCCAACAATCTCGGGGCAAAGTGACCTATCTTCCCACAATTATAGCACTAACCATTTTTCCTTTCATTAAGCTTGTCTCAATCTCAACAAACTCCCCCTTGATGTGAGCTTCTGTTGCAACATTTTCTATGCCTATCATTTTATTGCCTTTTATCATCTCCTTCCTTCTTTGAGTTAGAATCCTCTCATTGATATTTGTTTTTACTAAAGAGAGCTCTTTCATCATCTTTCAAAGGAACTTTAGACATTTGATCATCTAAAGCTTCTTGATTGGCTAGGACACTCTCCAACTTAGCTAAAATTGGTTTCTAAGACCAACCTTTTGCTGTTGTGACAAGGCTATGATATTTTGGATTTAACCCCATAATAATAATTTTCCTCATCTTTGTGTCAGTGATCTTGGATCTAACTTTGAAATCTCATTACAAATAGATTTAAGTTTTGAAAAATACTCACTTACCTGCATATTATTTTGTCGAATCAAGGCAAGCTCATTCTCCAACAACTGCAACTTCACATCATTTGCTCTTGCAAATAGTGGGGCCAATGTATCCCATGCTTCCTTTGGTGTCTTCACCTTTGACATAACTAAGAAACTGTGGCTCAACAATAACAGCTAATATGTAAATAGCTTTCTTAGCCCTTACCTGCCACTTCTTCAATTCACTTGAATTTGTTGGGGGTGTAGCATCATCTCCGTCAATAAGATCTTAAAGATTTTGACCTTCGAGGTAAAATTCGACCATTGTACTCTATACTTGATAATTCTAATTGTTTAGCCTCTCTACTAAACAAGCATTCAACATCACATTTGGATTGATGGCTTTGGTAGTGCCCTGCACTTATACCAAGTTGATTTAGTCCCTGACCAATCTACTTCACAATCCTTGACTATGTACGAGCAGAATTTTGAGCAAATCTAAACTTTCAGTCTTTCACTTATTCTAGCACTTTCTTAGTTCACCGCTATTGCTTGCTTCTCCAAAATTCTAGAGTTACCCTTAATTATTTTATCTTCTTTAATTAGTCGATGTTCTTCGACAGACCCAAAATTGCTTCTGTCTTTTCTTGATCTACTCCAGCTTGGGAACTGTGATCACTCAGAAATGCTTTACAACCATTCGCTAATTGATAAAAAATCTAATGATCCAATAATTCATTGGAAAACTTCCTGGTTCTGATATCAGGAATGAAAAGGCAGCTCATGAGGCAATTCTTTAGTGTTTGATTCACATCATTCCAGATGAAATTTATGAATGCAGTAACCATAATTTTGCTTACACCCTGAAACATATTCAAATTGTAAAAAGGTTCAAGGCAGCTCAATTTGTTCAGTGTAAGCTCCTCGAGTTTGACATTTGTCACATTCTTCAATGACTTTGCCACTAGGACAAAAGCCAAAAGATGGCTACCACATTCTAGAACTATATGCACAGCAATTTTTTTTAGATGGCACTAGACGTAAAAACAAGTATATTGTCTACATTCTAACGAAATACTTTCCATGGCAACAAATGATCCTTTGTATTGATTGTTAGATGTATTGCCATTGTCTTTTCATCATTCGCTTGCTTTTGAGTTTTAATGGTAATGAACACCATTACTGCCTCATATAAACATGCAAGCAAATTCACTTTCCTTAGATCTATAGTTTTCTCAGCATGATCCGACAGAAGCACTAAACATCTTGTTGATAATCTTTTGGAGATAACTGACTAAACTTTAGAAGCTAAAGCTGCAGACGAATTCGTTGTTCAACAAGTACCTCTACTTTAACTTGGCTTGGATACATCGACACATCAACTCACAAGACCCCATGAAAGATTTCATTAAAAGGATGCATATTCTCCATATCTTTGAAAACCACTTTCATTTTGTTGAATATTTTTTGAGAAAATTAATCTTTTGATCTTTCAACTTTTAACTCATTTATGACTAAATTTTTCAACTATAATTTGTTACAACTCAGTTTCTCAACTTTTGTTAGTTCTCTTTTCTTATGTTAACTTAATCCTACATCAAAGAGTAAGAAAAGGGTATTTTAGAGCAAGATATAAGCATTTCTTTGATCCTTTTTATTTGATAAGGAACTTCTTAAAAAAGTTGAAAATAAAAAATTGAGTTATAAATGAGTCAAAAATTGACAGACTAAATCATAGCGAGTCAACTAAAGGATTGAGTTACAAGTGGGTTAAAAGTTGAAAGATTAAAAAAGATTAATTTTTCCATATTTCTCTTTGTTCAGCATTATTTCTGGTAGAAATCATGACATGGTGAATGTTGCGCACATGTTCATCCCCAGAAAGTAAGGTTTGAGCTAGTTGATCAACAGCAAGATCAGTGGCTAAACTGGGCATAGCATCTGGTATCGTGCCTGCTTCTATCTCATTCTCCATCATCATTTCAATTGGCATAAGTCCTTCCAAATAATGAAGCGGGTCCTCCTGGATTAGACTATACTTTTCTTCTATTGAATCATGAGCATTTGAAAGTCGATGAATCCAAGTCTTAAGTTTGCTTTCATGCACTGATCTCATAGGGTAACTCAGCCAGAGGCTGACAAAATCTCTTATTCTGTCTAACTTCAAAGTCTTCTGCTTTCTGAACAATGGGGGAAAACCAAGTGACTCAGTGTAGGATGACAAACCACTCTCCATCAGACTCCAAATATGATTTGTTGTGTTTTCCTACCAATAACTTCATTAGAACTCCCATCGTTAGTCAAATCCCTTACTACATAGGATAACTTATTATGAGAACAAGGGCCAAATTCCTAGTCTCTGTTGGTTTGTTTGAAAGCGCGCCAATCCCCATGGTATAATTTGTTTGATCATCAGCGAATCGCTATTTCCCTACGATAATATTAATCAAATCCACCCTTAGATGATAATATTTTCATTATTAAGGAAGCATGCTTCCTTAATTAACATCCCACCCACTCTGTCCAAGAAAGAAATCAGTATCCCGCCCAAAAAAATCTTGTACCAAGTTCTTCAATGAAAAAATCCCAAGCGAAGAGTTTATGTTAAAACATTCTATTAATATGTTATATCTTGATGGAAGATCTCTCGTTTATGTCAAACTTTATTTTAAAACAAAATTATTCATTTGATCCCTGTTATATATTAACATACAATAGTTGTGAGGCTCCCGTACAACGACAACAATGTATATATTCTGACTCATTTCGACCCTCTGGCATGGACCAAAGAATGATTTTGCTCTTAAAAAAATATTTAGGAAAATATTGCCCTTACCCAACATTTTCTAAAAGAAGTTTAGGGAGTGTTTGGGTCAAAATATGATTTTTGCCCAAACCCAACTATTTATAATAAAAATAGTAATTTTGGCCTAAATTTACCAAGTTTTTCCAGAAGAAAGTTATAAAAAGATTTAGTCAAGAATGCATCATTTCGACAAAGGGACAAAAGTGAAGACATATGAAAAAACTATAGCTAGTGGCCCTAAAAAAGCATGAAACCGTGAAAAAATTGTTACTTTGTGCCTATAAAAAGGAAGTACCACACACATATGAACCTTTTCAACTCTATAAACTACATATAATCTCTATAGACATCTTTTAACAACTCAACACTAAAATCTGCTTGTCCAGTGCAAAAACCTTGACTCTGTATTATCTTTTACTTTGCTCAACACGACTACTTTTATCTTTAAGCAAATTTAATGCAATACCTTTAGCACAACATGCATTCAATAAATAGCATTGAAATTCTCCAGCAACCAATAGAGTGCCATCTCTTGATAGAACAGCAGAAATAGTGCTCCTATGCTTTTTTTTTTAGTTTTCCATCTTTTATTTTTTATAATTTTTTTTTATCATTGTCAATATCATGTCTTCTCTTACCATGCCAGTCTCACATCTTTCTTTATTTTTATTCCTTCATTCCCTTTAATTTTAAACACTTATATTTTATAAAATTATAGTAAAAGATCTTGAAAAATTACCATTTAATTTTAAAAGTTGGGAACATCTCACCTTTTAAAGTCATGTTCCTCTAGCACATCCGCACAAAAAAAAAAAACACAGAAACATGGAGAAAAATAATCTTTATCCCATATTTGTTTATACAGTATTTAAATATTTGTTTCCATCAAAATGTGTGTGTTCGTATATGTTATTTCAATAATTTTTACTCAGAGACACAGCAACGTTGATTCAAAATTCTGAAAAGCGTCAAAGTTGATTTTACTCACCAAGACAGTTTTAAAAATTTTAATATTTTTTTACTCAAACTGTTTTTACTTTTGCCTCACCGAAATAATATTTTTCATTTTTAATATTTCTTTATTTATAAATATTATGATAAAGATAAAAAGTATTTAATGATTAAATTCATAATATATATCAAATTATTATTTATATTTTTAATATGCATGTGTACGAAAAATTTTAAAATAAAATAAGTTTTATTTAATTTTAATCTACATAAAATAATAAATTATTAATATACTAAATATTTTTATTTATTTTTATCTGTTAAATATTAAAAGATCCCATGCATCGCACGGAAATATATCTAGTTTCAATTTAAAACACAAGAATAAAATTTTAGTTTAAGTAATTTGAAAAAATATAATAGCATTTATTTTAACTAATAATGTCGTGTTTATTTTAATAAAAAGTTCCAAAACTAGTTGAGAGTAAATTAACTAGGCAAAATCGGCCAAAAAAATAAATTAACTAGGAAAAAGACAGAATATTGAATAAATATTGAATGGCTGGTGGCTCCATGGAACGTTAGATAAAAGCACACAAATTGAACGGTCAAATTAGGGAAATGGAGGGGAAAAAGAGAGAAAAAAGAAGGAAGACACCCTGCACTTATCCTAAAATAAAATTTGAACCGTTCAAATTTGGTATAAATTAAATTTGAATTATTCAAATTTAAAGTTTTTATTTTTTTATTTATATTATATGTTATACTTATTAAAATTAAAATTAAGATTTTAATAAATTTATTTTATCAAAACAGTTCAAATTTAATTTGAAGAATCCAAAAATTATAAATAAAAATAAAAATTTTAAATTTTAAATTTGAATTATTCAAATTTAATCTGCACCAAATCTGGACGGTTTAAATTTTATTTAGAACAGTGAATAGGAAATGAAGAGGAATGGCCGTGGATAGTGGAGACAAGTCTCAATTTTGCATCGTTTACAAAAGATTTAATTTTTCAAACGAGAATCATAGCAAGGGTGGTCTTATGAGAAATTTAAAAATATAGAGAGGACAATATGAATGCATCTTTTCAAACAATTTTTAGATGTCAGCATAATCAGCTCAACACTCGGTGTTGTCGACAAGGAAGTCGTCATCAAATTCCACAAAACTGGATAGTTGTGCTGTGTCAAAACTTAAGTCTAGATAAGCCCATTGAAGAAACTCTAGATCTGAATCGGAGGCTGACTTGCCCCTCTGATTTCCACTGAAACTTGGAGTAGAATTTGTTACACGGGAAGCTACTATGCGACCGTCACTTCGCCTGTATGGATACACACAATTTTGTATAATCTTATAGATGAACACTAAAACAGAGATATATACGTGGAATTCAGTTATGCATACATACCTGCTGCTTATGTCAGTAACTGGCTTTTGGTCCCCAAAGATCCTCCCACTAGATCATCATCATCTACCCTAGATTGAGTCATTAAGTCAGCCTCATTATTGATGGAGGAATTTGTTGCACTAGAGGTTTGTCTGCAAGTGTGACGGCCACGATAGGTGATATTGTAAAGGCTAGGCTCCTCGTCATCTCTCTGCACCTCTTTGTCAGCTAGGCAACCCTTGTGAGTGCATCTGTAGTATCCTCTGTGCATAAAACACTTTGCAGCATCAGCCAAAATATCTGATTGGGAAATAAATTACGATTCTCGGAGAATTAGAAGTAGAGGCACCTTGGAAATTTGGCTCCAAGAGTGTCCTTCTGGCCAAATTTCCTCCAACTGTATCCATCGTCTGGAGACTTGGAGCGGGTTGTAAGGCTTCTTTTGACGCATCACACACAAATTAATTATTGAAGTTTCGTTTCTCCTTTTTCCTCAAACATTGCATTTTCAGTGAGTTATTCCCTCGGTCTTCATCCCACCATTGCTCGTCCACTCTCTTCCCAATTGTAGTTTCACGGCTCGATAATCACGAGGCCCGTTGGGCCTACTTCCGGGCATCGATTGACGTCATAAGGCTGAAAACAACAGGCTCCATGTGGAGGGACCAAGCCACCACTTTGAATTGATGATTTCCATGAATTTGGGAACTCTAGATTAAATGATTTTTTACGCAAAGGATAATTCGAACTTTACGGTCAATACAAACCTTATCTTGCACATACAGAAAGATAAAGGTAGAGTAACTAATAAATTGCATTCAAAATAGTACTTCAGAGGATTCGGATTCTGATTAAACTAAATGAAAATGTACAATAAAACATCCAAAAATCATCTCAATTTTAGAAAAGAAACATATTTCGCTACTCACAACATAAGTTTTTTTTTCCCCAAAAAATAAGTGATTTTTTTAATAAAATAAACTAAAAGAAGCAGGCTCTATGACTTCCTCAAATTTGAGAGCAATGTAAGATTTCTTTTGACACAGACACAAAAACTCCAACAAATTAGGGTTAAAAATTTATGATAACTAATAAATAAGGGGAAAAAAAACTTCTTTCTCCATCTTATAAATAGAATTGGAGGGAGTATAAAATTAACTACTCATAGATTTACCTGGATTGTCATCGATATCATCTCCAAATTGATTCGTTAAGTCAGCCTGATTAATCATGGAGGAATCTGTTACATTGGAGGCTTGTGTGCAAGTATGACCACCAATATAGGTGATACTGTAAAGGTAAGGCTTCTCATCAATTCCCTGCACCTGTTTGATAGCTTGACAACCTTGACGGTATTTATGTGTGCATCTGAAATATTCTCTGCGGATAGACCACATGCATGTAGCAATTAGCATAAACCGAAAGAGGCATATGTATATAGTTTACCTTGAAAAAGAGGCATATACAGCTGCAAAGTAAAGTATGGAATTCGTGGATAATTGAAATGGGAGGTACCTTGGAAATAGGGAATTGATATTGACTCTCTGGTCATATTTCCTCCAACTATGTCCATCTTCAAAAGATGGAGATACCTTTTTCCATGTTTTCACGGTCTGATCACCATCCGTGTCCAATTGGCTCATAATGTCAGCCTGTTCATCAATTGGAGAAAAGATGGAATCGAACATATATGGCCGACCCTTTATTCCCCATTCTTCTTTGTTCCATGCCAATGCCTCCCACCACTTGGTTGCTCCCTTAATGACTTTCAAATTTTGAACTGACAGTAACATTTTTGGAAGGCTATGAAGCTTCGGGCAATCATAAATTCCAATCTTTTCTAAACTTGGACCCATGCATAATCCATTGGAAATACTGATCAATGCAGGAAGATGGAGAAGTGTCATTGTTCTCAATTTAGGAAGGAAAGTACCTTCTTTGAGTTTGGATTTTCCACAAGATATTAAAGCACTTATTTTTGGACAATCTTTAATTACTAGCACCTTCAAGAGTGAAAGGTTCCGCAGAGAAAATCCAAGGTGAAAACAGTTGTTAACTTGGGACAATTGTGCAATGCTAAGGTATTCAACATACCAAAACTGTGACTAGAATCAACTGGTCCTTCACAAACGCTTCTTAGATTCTTCATGTATGATACACTCAACATTAGCAAATGAGGAAATATATCCTTAATCCTTGAGCGTCTTGCATCAACAATTGTTCGCATCTCCTTGCATTCAGCCAAGATACACACCTGCAATTGTTCTAAATTCATCGTACCAAACATTGATAAATCCTTGATGGACATGTGACGGTCTAAAAAAAAGCTTTGCTATGTCTAATAGCACTTGTTTCATAGGGGACGTCAACACCTTTCACAAACTTTAAGCTGCACTCACTTTGTTTAAATCTTTCTTCGGCTGTTGGCAGTGCGCCCGATATGATTCGTGACATATGTCGTCCAACAACAAATCTAAAATCAAGCTTGAAAATGTGAGAAGGTATGAAACAGAGAAGTTCCACTTTTGGAATGAACAAACTAACAGTTTGTAAGAATTTTAATACCAAGACTTCTGGTAGAATGACACGTAAGTTCTCTTCCCATCGCTCATCATCAGGGTTCACATCAATGCTTAAATGTTTTAACCCTTTAAGGTTTGAAATCACCCCAGAAGGAATAATTGTTGAACTTGCATATTGCATGCTTTTCTTGCCACGGTACTCATAAAAACAAAGAGTCAAACTTTGGAGATAGGTCAACTCTCGGATCTCTTTTGGAGATGTATGATCTGAGTCTTGTCAAGATCAAGCTTCTCAAGGTTCTTCAATTTTCCAACCTCTGAGGATAGTTTCATGAAGCGTTCACAGCCTTTCATATAGAGTTCTCTAAGTTGCTCCAACTCAAAAAAGGAGTTGGGTAATTCTCTCACACTAGTGTAGGACAAATCCAAGATGCAAAGTAGAGGCATTTTGAAGAAGAAAAGGGGTGGAATCTTTGTCAAGTCAGCATTGTTGTGCAACTTTAACACTTTCAGTTCAAGGCAATTCAAGGACCAAGGTAACTCAGATAGCTTATTGTCTGCCAAATCAATATATATGGAACTATGCCATAACTTACTATTTGGTGGTTCAACCAACCCTAACTCAGATTTCTTCATGAACAAAGGGTTTTGAGTGTTCAATGATTGCAAAATAGCATATATGTCTTGTGGAATTTGAATATACCTGGACTTGCTTTCCTCCAATTGCAACAAGGCAAGACAGTCAACAAGCTCTCTCAAATTATGCTCTGCTTCTCCCGCAACCACTAATTGATAAGAAATCCAATCATTGATCAATTCATTTTCAAGCTTCCCAATTTTATTTTAGGAATGAATAAACATGATGTAAGACAATATTTTTTGTCTTGCTTAAATCATGCCAGATGAAGTTATGAATGCTTTAACCATGATGCTGCTCTGGCCAAGAAACCTACTAATGTTGTAGGAAGGATGGAGCGAACACAACTTGTCCAAAGCATGTTCCCAATGCCTAACATTAGTTGCATTCCTCAATGACTTTGCTACAATGGCAGTGGCAAGAAGATTACCACCGCATTCTTTAACTATACGCAGAGCCTTTTTCTTAGAAAAGAGGACTGTATAAACATAATGCCGACATTTCGACAGAAAACTTCCCATGCCAAAAAGTGATCCATTGTGTTGATATTCAGATCTGTTGCCTCTGTTAATTCACCATTAGCCAGCTTCGAAGATTCAGTGGTAATGCACACCACTACTCCGCAAGTTCTTCGGGAAAACCAACTTTCCGTGGATCAAAAGGCTCTACGGCTTCTCCGCCAACCAAAAGCACTAAGTGTTGTTTTTCGACATCTCTTTTTCAATACTTGTTATAAGCGAATCATCATTGCCTTCTTTCACTGGAAGATGAAGTTGTTGAGCTATCTGTTGTCGAACACGGACCTCTGCCTGAATTAGGTAATTTGAGGCGTCGATAAGTAAGACCTTACTGAAGGTTTCATGAAGACGAAGCATAATTTCCTTGTCTTTCAAGACTGATTTTACCTTTTCCATAACCAGTCTTTTTCCAGCCGCATCTCCAGAAGAAAACAAGACCTGATGAATGTTACGTACATGATCATCCTTAGACAGTAAAGTTTGAATCAGTTGATCCACAGCAAGATCCACAGCAAAACTGAGAATGTCTTCGTCTCCGAAGTATAACCTTCATACATGGGACGCCAACCTCCTTCAACCCCCGCTAATATGTCTCTTGGTAAAAGGCATTGGAAGCATTTAAGGGGCTTTTGACCAGCAGGCGATTCAAATCTTGGAGCGAATGTCTTCCACGTGAAGCTTCGCGAACCCAAGCCTTGAGTTTGCCATCATGCACCGTCCTCATGGGATAATTTAGTAAAAGCCTGATAAAATCTCTTGTCCGGCTTAATTGCAGCATCAGATTCTTCCTCTCCTCATCTCTAGACGTCGAGCCAATTGGTGCTTGACCAAAGAGCTTCACTGTTTTGGCTTTGAGAAAATCAAATGACTCTCCACTTGTGACTGTGGAAGAATACAGTGACCCTGTCTTCCCAAATAGCGCCGACTCTTCTATCGTGGGAACATCACAGAAAATAATGGGCTCCACTTCTTCTGTTTTGGGAAAATCAAACGTCTCTGCTTTCCCATATGTTTCCATTCCTTCCTTTTGGGAAAATCCTTTTTGTCTATTTTGGCAAAGCTCTCCACCATTGTTAACGTTGATAAATTAAGTAGCTCCGTTTTGGTGTGAACACGAGGCTTGCTATTCGTTGAATTCATTTCTTCCATGGGAATTCCAGATAGCCAGTATTTCCTCCATGAGAGGAGGAGGAAAAGTCACATAGCAGAATTAAAACAAAAAGTGAGTTTTTTTTTTTGACCTTTTACAACAAAATAAAACATGAGTTGAAAGACTCGTGCGTAAACAAGTATAATTGAATATTTGAAATAATGTATACCATGAGAATTTATCAATATTTTATGTGCAATAAGCTAAACATTCTTCCTAATAGAAATTAAAGGCGTGTTTGATTGTATTTTTTTTTTTTTTTGGAAAAAAAATACTATTTTTTAACAATCATTTTTCAACCATGTATAGTACCTTTTTGTTCTTGCACCGTCATTTATCTTCGTTTGACTAGCTAAATTATTCAGGTAAGAAATATAGCTAAAATTATGTCTTTCTTCATAAACAATAATAATACTATATATATATAGAAGGAGCATGTGAAAATAATAACATAAAACTATACTACTCTCTGAAATACATAAAAACCTATCAAAACAGGGCTTAGAAAATAAAATTAGAATATTTTGGTGGAAAAAACATATAACTTGAAGAATCTGCTACTAATCGTCCGGGGAGACAGCCCATCTCTTTGTTTTCCTACCGATCAATGGATCCGATAGTTTGTGCAGAGAAATGGGCCAGGTCGATAGGCGGTAGATCCAGATTTTGTAAACAGACAAAAGCGGAGTCCTATTTGTGAAATCCCATAATATTTGAAACTTTGCGAACTGCGTCATCGAATGATGGAATGAAGTTGATGTATTTTTCTAATTCATTTTCTAATGCATTTTTTAATGCATATCTTAGGTGAAAAGAAGATATGTAAAAGATGAGAGAAGGGATGGGTGTTGTGTGAATAACAAGAAAATGAGAGTTGCATTTAGAAATACGTTTCACATAGCCAAGTATTGATATTGATCTATCCAATCCATACCCATTTTTGAGAAAAATTGTATGCGCAAATCACAGCTGAATTTCATTGTGAGAGAAATACATTAGACTTCATAAGTTAGAAACTGAAATGAGACAAGGAAAAAAAAATGACTGTAGTACCTACCTGGTAGCGATGTGATCTGGATCAGGTGTGGTCTGGGTGAAAACTGAAACCATAATTTATCTCTGCTATTAAAGCAATGAATATCAGATCAGCCGACGCTTCCTTCCTTTCCTCCTTCCCCTCACTTTCTTCTTTCCTTCCCCTCACTTTCTTCTTTCCTTCCTATCACTTTCATCCGCGGAACCTAATCACCACTCATATTGTAAAGTACTCCTTCAACCCAATATATTAATTGTTTTTCTAAAAATATAACCTAATATTTTATAAATCACTAATTAATAAAATTATTTATTTTAATTTAAAATTTTTAAACTACCCTTAAATAGTAAAAGAAGAAAATAAAAAAATAATATTATATTATTAATTTACTTTTTTATTTTTACTTAAAAATTATATTTAAAATTTATTTATCTTCATCCCTCATATTTTTATTGTATTGATATTAATATAATTAATGAAAATAATTTATAAATGAGGTTGAATACAATGTTATGACACTGTAGATAAATAGTTTTTTCAACAGAGCTTTATTAATTTAATATTTTAAAGGCCAAAACATTGGGGTTTGTTATTGTGTTAATTGAACTGTAGAAATAGATTAGGTGCTGAGTGTAATGATTACATGTGCTTATTATATGCAGTCAGGAGTGTGGGCCCATTGGTTAGTGCAGATGGGGAGAGACAAAACCATGCTTAATGAGTTATATCTATTTAGTTGGCTTGGATGCGTGACCCCATTGGGTAATCCCCAGGCGAGAGGGGGAAAAAAATTGAACCAATAAAAAAATATAAAACATGAAGTTGACGTTACTTTAAAAAAAAAAAAAATTCCCGCAATTTCAAGATTGAATGATCGTCTCCCTTCAAATATCCAGCTTTTAGAGTGCCCTGTTTATATACTTCCAAAGGAGCCACCAACTCTGTTTAAGGTTCCACGTGTAGAGTATGTCCAGTATGTCTCTGATTGCAATTCTGGAGGCAGTAAGATCATCGGTTCAACAGCTGCAAAACTTGGTAGGAGAGGTTGATGAAGGTAGAATGGATGAAGAACTCTAGCAATAATTAGTGTGTGATAATGTTTGCCGTTGGTGATAGTTGGTTGAAGGATTTAACTTATAGCTTTTCTTTCTTCCTTTTTGTGTTTTATCGATTGAGTCGTGGTGGTATTCATAATGAAGCGGCAATGCGATGCTCAAATGATGGAAGTGATTTGATGTAGGGTCATTTGATGTTGGAGTCTAATGTCTAGGTAATAGCCGTAGGCTGAGGAAGATTCATGGGTTGCTGACCAATAATTGCTCGTCCAAAATTATCAACACTGAAGACAATTGGTCCATTATTTCGGGAGAAATCTAGCCCTCGTCATCGCTTAGGTGAGTTGACTTTGCTTGAATTCTTTTTTTTTTTTTTCCTTGGACTACTCTGTTTCGTATTGCCACTGTCGATCTTGTGTTTCATTGTAACTATTTTATCTGCTGTGACTCAGGAAAAGAAAAATAAGGGGAATTGAAGATTTTTGTCTTCTGAGTTCTTTTGTGTTAGACGCATGTTTTCATCTTTTTTTTTCTTTTTATGCGTTGTGTTTTGTATTCAATAGTCTGAATTAAATTGGGAGTTGGCCTCTTTAAACAAATTCTATATGTATTTCATTCGTGGCTATCTTTTAGTGTATGAAGGCTAAACTTTATCCTATTATTTGTTAAGAGACTGTCCCATAATTTATCAAAGAATTAAAACTTAATTATTTTCACCTATTTATTGAGGAGATTAACTTAAGGTATATGACACCCTGGAGATTCAAGAGTAAGAGAAGCCATGGTTTGAAAATAAGTACTATGATATTTAGTCGAGTTACATTTTACAATTGATGAGCTTGAGCAGTTCAGTCATACAAACAAAGCCCTAATTAATATTATAACTCACGATTTCAGTCGAAAGAAAGGAGGAGGTTAAGAAGAAATCGATCGTGCATATGTGTATATCCGACTTGTCGTATTGTTGTTAAGTTTGTGATAAGTCGTGATAGTAAATATGTTATTACCACATGATTGCATGTAATGTGATAATATGCATTAAGTTGTGAATTGGGTCATTGTCATAGATTTGTGAGTACCGTGGCAATGTAGCTCATGATTGAAACTATAAAATATGAAAATAAACTTAATAATGAAAGTTTAACTTGCGATATGTTTAAACACATAATTTTGAGTATTTAATTTGCTATTTTGTGTTTTAAATCAATTAATATGTAATTGTATAGAGTAGGTGTACTTTAATTATTGAGTGACTAAATTTATTTCTCTCTTTTAATATTTTACGAACTCTAACTCTGCAACATCCTAAAATTTAGCCCAAGATTAATTAAGTTAATTAAGGACAAATGATAATTTTAAAGAAATATTTAGAGATAAATAATTTAGTCAAGAAATTATTATTTAGAGTTAATTTAGATAAAATCTTAATTATGATTTTTTTAAAAACTAACAACAATAATATTATTATATAAAAGAAAAGAAAAAAGAGAAGAAGAAAAATAGATGGGAGATGGACGTTGGTGTGGGTATGTGTGAAAAAAAAAGAAAAAGAAAAAAAAAAAAGAAAGAAAATAAGGAGGGTACGGATTTGCAAAATTCGTGTGCGCGCGCGATTTGAGGATAGGAAGAAAAAAAATCTGTATGTGGGACGGATGCCTTTTTTTAAAAAAACACAACACCCGCACCCAATTCCTTCTTTTCGTTTCCTCCTCTCTTCGTGAGCACAGAGAAGAACAAGAACGGAATGAAACTCATCTAAAATATTTATTATAGAGCCTTGAATCAAATTTTTTGTCACCAACGTGCGCACGCTAAACTTAAAGTTTGAAAGAAGAATAAATTTTTGATGAATAAATATGGTATGAAGTTATTGGTAGTAATAATATTCTAAAATATTATTTTATTGATGAAATTTAAATATGAAGCTTTTGTTAAATCCAAAATTTCTATGGGTAGATTTTTGATTAAATTTAAAAATATAAATTAATTTATTGATGTTTAGATGATTATTTAGGATAAAAAATAAATTATTATAGCTATTATAGAATAATAATTTTAAGCTTAAAACTAAATCTGTAATTTTTGAGTATTTTTATGTGCGGAAGTTTTGGAATAAAAAAATTAATATTAAAAATTGTTTGAATAATAATTTAAGCTAAATTTCAATGAAATTATTGTGAAGGAAGCTATCGAACTAAATTGATAAATTCAAATATATGAAATTAAATTTTAGAATGTAAGAAGCTAAGATTACAGTCTTAAAAAATAAAATAAAAAAAGAAAATACTTAAGTGTTAGAATATGAGTGAAAATTATGTTAATAATATTATTGATATATTGTGATATCATTAAATGTAGATTAATTGTTATTTAGCACCAATCAAGCTTTAAAAAAGCTTTAAAAACTATTGTAACCTAAGGATAACTTTTGACCTCACAAAAGTTGAGGTAATCGGGAAAAATTTATTTTATACATTTGTATATGAATTGATTATTTATATTAATTGATTATTTATATTGTGAAACAAATGAATATGCATGTGTGTGTGTGTGTATTCAAATCTTGAAATTGTTGTTTATAATGCATATGTGGCTTTATTGATATCATATAATTTGTGACCAAGTTAATTGTAACATGATTTGAGTAGTGAAATTGAGAATTGATTGATTGATTGTGCATACTCTTAATTATAAATTGTGGATTATACATGTTGATGAATTGTATATGAGCATATTGAGTTTTTACATGATGCATATGTGATTTATATGGTAATTAAAAATTGATGCATGAGGCATGATTGAAATATGATGATTCTTGATACTTGTTGAGTAAGAAAGTTAATAAGCATATGGAATAATTGTGTATTACACATATAAGAATTATTGAAAATGCATTTTATCATGAGCATGATCATATGGAAATAGTTCGCTTAGTGAAGAACTAGCGGTTGTACAAATTATATGGTACTTGGCTATTAATTGATGATCTTAGAAGTTATAGCCGCTACTTACCCTGTAGGAAATGTAGCTTTGTTTCTATTAAGGGACGTAATCCTACTGGCATACCTGAGAGTTTTAGGTAGAGCTAGTCTTGAATATGACACTTTATTGTGTGTGATTTGGGAGAAACTGTGTTCCTAATGAGTAAAAATAACCCTAACCCGATAGCCCCTCATAATATGATTAAGCCCTTGGATAATCTCATCACATGGACAATCTCTTTCAGTTGTTGGCCCATGAATTTTATGTCAAAGGAAATAATGGGGGTTATAAGAAAGAGATTGATCATATATTTTATTATTATTGTGTTTTTGAGTGATTGATGGGCTGTTTGAGACTATAATTGTAATTGTGAAGATGAGAATATGTTGTAACTGTGTGTGAACCATGTGTATGTGGCCCACCAATTTTGTACAAGCATTTAATATTATGGGCAATCATATCAATTTTGTACTTAACTTATTCTTGAGATTATTCACATAAGTTAGATGTTAATGTGATTAGCATAATCTTGATATAATTATTTTACCTGATCATTTTGATGAATTTATTAACTACTTACATTCATAATTAATTATCATGCATTTGTATAATTTAAATGTACCTTGGTTACTGAGAGTAATTATACCACTTTCTATTTAATATATTACAAGAGTTAGTTCATCTGAAAATATAATACGGAAAGGAGCATTAGGCCAAGTGATATAATCATTCTGTAGCCTTTCTTTTTTATTTGGATATGTGTATTTGTTTATGATATTATCAACTAGGGTAATATATTATTGATGCACTTACATTATGAATTTTTGTGTTGGGTGAAAATGTATTTTAGGCCTTTAAGATGTAATTTGACGCTTATGTTTATATTAGTGTACTAAAATATTTGTGCAAGTGAAAATAGTTATGATATATATGATTTAAGAACTGAAATATTATTATGATTTCTCCTTGTGCTTTGATGTTCAAGGGTGAGTGGTTGATATTAATTATATATGAATAAAAAGAGAAATTCATGCAAGTGATGAGCTATTGATGAATAGATAATATATAGAGTATGTTGACTAGTTGATAATCATTACGATAAATGTGATTGAGATCTTGGCCCCCTGCTGTCAGTTATGGAAGGGTTTGAG